AAAAGTCCAAGAGGTTTTTCCCTCCCCTAAGCTGCAATTTAATATCTATTCCATTCATTTTAGATGTTTCAAGTAGGCACAGCCAAAGACATCTTCTAAGAATCAAAAGTTTCACTCCCATGCCTTTTCCAGGAAGCAACCCAATAAACTGCATGGCCATACTTGACCTCCGTTGGCTATCCAAACGATCCAACTTCACCCGATTGCCATCAGGCAGAGGTTAGGCAAGCCGCCACTATCCATCTTCATGAGTTTTATCTCTAGCACACCACTCCCATGGTGCCATAAATATTAGGTGATGGTGTTTAAATAAACAAATCCAATGACACTCACATAGCAATGTGAAAAAGCTTTATATCGAGAAACAATCTTATGCCAAGATGTCATCCCAGCCTAGTCCAAGAAAAACCAAAAATCCCTGTACAAGGCAGGGCCTTCTTCAGAGTCACATAACAGAAAGGTGAAGGAGGTGCAGGAGGATCACAGGCTGGTGAGTGCCTCATTGATGGAAACATCTCAGGGTGCTACCAGCTCTCAGGATCTGGAGGTCCAGATGTGATGCCCCTGGAGGCAGGCAGAGTTCCAGCAAGCATGAAAGTAGAGGGACAGAAGCAGAAGGAAGTTCCCAGCTTCTCTTTCTAAGAAGGCTACACAATCAAGGAAGCATTATCAAGCTATTACCTAACTGACAGGTTGGACTCCACCCCTATACTTTCGTCCAAATACCACACTGATAAAGCACTGGAAGTACTCACTCATCTATGCCCGGGAATTTGTATGACAGCTATTGGGCCAACGGCCAGGAAGAGATCCATAACTATACTCATTCCAAAGAGAAGTGACCCAACAGAATGCTCAAGTAATAGTACAATATCATTGATATCAAATGCAAATAAATGTTTCCTGGAAATCATCCAACTATTTTTGTAGTATTACACAGACAGAGAACTGCCAGAGTTTCAGGCTAGATTCAGAGGAGGACATGAAACAAGGGATATCGTTGCTGAAAAAGAGACTAACATAAAGATGTTTACTTGTATTTTATTTATTATGCTAAGACATTTGACTATGTGGATCATAACAAACAAAATGAATAGGCTTGAGGAAATGGGAATTCCAGAACATTTCATTGTACTCGTGCAGAACTTGTACATGGATCGAGAGGCAATTGTGTAAATTGAACAAGGGAATACTGCATGGTATAATCAAGAAAAGTGTGTGTCAGGGTTGTATCCTCTCATAATATTATTGAAT